GGTACGACACTGCTGTTATAATATTTTTAGTGCGGTATTGACATTAGAAATCCAATCAGATTAGATGCCATGTCTGTCTTACCTCATTGCACTGGGAAAGCAAATGACTTCACACATCCCTCACTCTGTAAAGTAGCAGAAAAATGGATGTGCAGTCTTGGAATCAGTGTTATAAAAGTTGACGCACAAATAACTAAATGGAAAACACACAAAAAAACATTATATGTCCACATGGAAAATGGAATTACAAATAGAAAAAAAACCTCTGTCACCTGAAGAGAAATAAAATCCCACACTGTGCCAAAGCTTATATTTACATTTATTCATTTTTATCCAAAGCTACTTACAATTTGGGGAATACATCAAGTGATTCATCTTAAAGAGGCAAACAGACACAGAAAGTGCTCATAATACCAAGTTTCAGGCATTGTTCAAATAAGAAAGAAAGACTGCGGATTAAGTAAAGAGAAGCAAAGTTTTATTTAATTTTTATTACATACATAATATTTAATGCAACCTACACTAACATTTAAAAGATTGGAATTAATACTTTTACTCTTCAGTGACACAAATTGTTTCAAATATATTTATAATGACAGTAAAGACACTTATAATTTTACAAACAATTTCTGTTTCAAACAAATTCTGTTCTTTTGAACTTCCTATTCAAAGAGTTATGAAAAATGCATCACTGATTCCACAAAATATTAAGCAGAACAACTGTTTTGAATATTGATAATAAGAAGAAATGCTTCTTGACACAATACCAAATCTGTATATTAGAATGATTTCTGAAGGACCATGCATGAATGGAGTAATGGCTGCTCAAAATTAAACTTTGCCATCACAGGAAAAAAATTACATTTTAAAATATAAAACAGCTATTTAATAATATTTTATAATATAATATTTGAAAAAGTGAAAGAAAGTGAAAAGTGAAAGTGACATGTGGCCAAGTATGATGTCCCATACTCGAAATTTGTGCTCTGCATTTAACCCATCCAAGTGCACACACACAACGTGAACACACACCTGGAGCAGTGTATAGCCATTTTTGCTGCGGCGCCCGGGGAGCAGTTGGGGGTTCGGGTCTCACCCAAAGAGAGTGCTGGTCATTCACTCCCCTCACCTACAAATAATAATAATAATAATAATAATAATATTTTATATAATACATTGAATATTTAATAATATTTCATCATTCATAATCCTTCATAAAAAAAAACAGACTCAACAAACGAACAAACTGACAAAAAGTGTATATCAGACATTCAAAAACAACACTGTAATCAATAATCAGAAAAATCAGCAGTGGTCAATAGCAATGGACTATATATATATCACTGGTATAAACAAACACGCATCACACACACACACACACAAAATCTACAAAAATATATACAATCGATCTACAGCATCAAAGCTTACCATTTCACTATTATTTATGCAAAAGACTAACAAAATGAGTAATGGGTGCTACACCAAGTTAAATAATAGCGTAAAGCTATGCATGTAAAAAAAACAAAAATACAATAGATTCCTTGTTCTGAAAAAGTCAGTTTGGGCAATATTCAAAACATTTTATTTCTTCAGTACTGCTAAAATAATGTTCTCATTTGCATTCACTGGAAAATGTAGGAGATTTTTCTGTTGTCAACTGTGGTAGACATTTTTCCTAAAGCCATATATGATCTCATGAAATGTTGGTGTGTTACCGCACCACAAACAAGGTTAAACAGCAGGACCATGTTTAGCTCTGCACTTTTGTAGCAATCTTCAACCGCCACCCCCCTCAGAGCTCCGGTTCAAAACTTTTCGACTCTGACAGAAACATTTTGCCATGAGATTTCTTGCCTAGAAGGCAGGTCATGTTACTCACCCATATGGTGGAGCTACAGGGGCAGCCAAGTCTCTGTTCACCTTGAGCAGCGGAGAGCCTGGGTTGAACCCTCGGTGGACTACGAGACTGTCACAATACTCTAGGTCTGCCAAAAGCCATCAGTGACACAGGGTATAAACAAGAGCCTTTGATCGCTAGGCCCTGATTTCAAACAGGCTGTCAGCTTTTCCGTGTGGGGGCAAGAGGCGTGAGGCATCTGAAGGGACAAGCTGAAAATATTTATGTTTGAGCAAATTATGCTGCTCCCACTTGCTTAACAAGATGTGTCAGTCCTGGGCAAGAGGCAATGTGGGAGCCATTATACCCCCAGGCTTGGCTCCATGTCTGTCATGGTTGAGCCCACGGTGCCTGGAGAAGGCAAAATAAGGAAACAACCAAAAGGAAGCATATACAACCTGTTATGCCGTCAAGAACAGGAACGAGAGTTAAAGCCAGGATAGTTCACCCAAAAATTTAAATTCATTTAAATTTACTTATGTCGATTCAAAACTGCATGACATTTTCATCTGGGCCACATAAAGTCCAGTCAATTTGCAAAGTGAGTCAATTTGCAAATCATTGACACCACACAAGATTCACAAAGCCACAAACATTAGTTGTCTTGATCACAGTTCACATAGTGATTGGCAACTGAAAGAGTAGAACTTTATGGAGTGAAAGGATGGTTGTGCCAACATGTTCTAGTTGCACAAATTACCAGGGCCAGAAAAAATAGATATTTCAGCATGTGGTCGGGGCAACATGTATAGGGCCATACAACTATTTAGTGGGAGATGTGAAAGAGTAAAAAGGATTTCAATTTTTTTTTTTTTTTGCTTGGCGGTACCTTCAAAGCTACATTCTTGTGAATTGTCCACCCCTAAATGAACAGTTCACCCAAAAATTTACTGTTGTGCAAAACCTGTATGACTGACTTAATTTTGTAAAACACAAAAGATATTTCGAAGAATGTTCATGCAACATGCCCATACAATGAAAGTCAATGGGGTCCAAAACAACTTTAATTTTTTTCAAAATATTTTCTTTTGTGTTCTACTGGAGAAAGAAAATCATATATGTCAGGAACGACATGAGGATAATTAAGTGGTGACAAAATGTTTATGTTTGGGTGAACTATCTGCTTAATGGTGATATTAGTATATTAGTACCTTAAGGTATTAACAGGTAATCTAAAGGGGTAGATAAAATACAAAGGAGTACTTTTAAGGGTCCTACCCCAGTGACAAGCTGTTTACCATTTTTCTCCCAGCAGTTTGTCCAGGGGCACCCCAATACCTTAATCCAGCCCAATACATTACCCAACATGGTTCTGTGAAAAGGCCTTAGGAGCTGAGAAAGGCATATGTGCCAGTAGCATTTACCCATCAGCCCCTCAGTTTAAACCTGAGAAGGTTTTAATCAAGTCTCACATTAGAAAATGAACACATCTCAACACTGCATCACCTAAAATAACTTTCCGTCACTGAGTGTTGAGCTAAAGTAAGACATAAAGCTCAGGGTCGCCAGTGGATCACATCAGCGGGAATGTTCCCAAGGGCACTCTAATCCAGCTTTACACCCTATTCCTCCTTGCAGCCAAGTGAGCGAAACAGGGCGAGAGAGACGAAAGTCTGCCAGTACCGCCATCGATTTTGTGAGCATTATGATTTGAGTGAGCATGGCGTTCTTTGTAGCACAGAGCATAGACAGGTAACGAGCACTGAGAGAGAGCTGGAGAAATGACCTAATGTACTGGAATCCTCACATTCATTGATCTGATTCCTCCTTGCAGCCAAGTGAGCGAAACAAGGGAGAGAGATGAAAGTCTGCCAATACCGCCATCGATTTTGTGAGCATTATGATTTGAGTGAGCATGGCGTTCTTTGTAGCACAGAGCATAGACAGGTAACGAGCACTGAGAGAGAGCTGGAGAAATGACCTAATGTACTGGAATCCTCACATTCATTGATCTGACTGAATTTATGACCGGCACTCTGACTGGGGTTTCACAGCTGAGCTGCTATGTGTTTCCAGTGGCTTGACGCAGAAAATGACCACTCTAGAGTCTTGTAGCTGGGCTAGTGCGGCCTCATTACGAGCCAAGCTCCATTTTGCACCCTTGCCACAGAGCGTGTGTATGTTTGAGGCTGCGCTCATCAAACAGGGCTGCAGTCTTCGGATTGTGCCCAGGCGGGAAACCTGTAATTTTCTATCAGTCTGCAATTACAGCCACGGTGTCTGTTTCACATGAGCAGCTGATTTATGAGCTGAGACTGGCAGCCATTACCGCTGCGAGTCTGACATCAAGCCATGGGTCTTAAAGACTCTCTCATTCCAGACCCAATTATGGAATAATTCAGATATTGTGATTGAAGAACTATGAAGGACAACACTACATTGTCTTGCCCAATATTATATAGGCAATTCTTAGATAAAATACAATAGGTGTGTTTAATTTCTTAACATGCATTGCAGGTATAATGAATAATATCAATCTAGGTTAATTTTTACATTGCTCGATAATATATTTATTATAATTAAATTATGAACAAACATGGATTTAAGATGAACAACAGCATACATTAAAAACGCTGTAAAAATTGTACATTGTTAGTTCATGACACCCACATTTTATTGTAAAGTATAACCTATATATTTTTATTCCTAAATGTCACTGTGAAAATAGATTAAAAACTGGAATCACACCAGATTTTATGTATTTAATGTTTTAATAGTAAAATATATATATACAGTATGTTAATATAACTTGACTTAACATACATAGAAATGTGTGTATTATTATAATAATATAATATTCTCAAAAATATTTTTTTGGCTTAATTACTTAGTACTAATTTAAGTTATTGCAAAGTGTTCGTTTTCAAAACGTTTATCCTATGTAACAGCACCCTGGAGAGATTTTGCTGAAGAACACAATGAATATGGAAGAAGAGATGCTAATAATTTCATTAAATTTAAAAAATGTATTACATATTAAGACATCATTGAGCCAGCTGTCATTCTACATTCCAAAAATAAAATGTTTTGGTCGTGCAGAATTGCTTCCCTCACACCGCTTTCATAATTAATAACCCTTCTCTGTCTCTTTTTCTGTCTACAGGTAAAGACAGCACAGGGCTAACAGATTCTGAGTTACCCCAAAACAGTGATCCTGCAGGGATGGATGGCAGCTACCTCAGTGTAAAGGAGTCAGGAGTGAAAAGCCCTCAGCAGCCAAACTCAGAGCTGGCTTCTCCGTTAGACAAGGCCGAGGGAGAGAGCAACAAGGGCAAGAAAAGACGCAACCGTACCACCTTCACAAGCTATCAGTTAGAGGAGCTGGAGAAAGTCTTTCAGAAAACACACTATCCCGACGTCTACGCCCGGGAACAACTCGCACTGAGGACTGACCTGACAGAAGCTCGAGTACAGGTGCGAACCCTCCACATATCCATTACCAAACACAATTCTGTGTTTTAAATAACCTTTAACAGTGAGGCTAGACCACCACTAACTAATTTTAGTCCAGTTGTGGTCCAAAATGAGGGATGAGATTCAGGTTAAGACCAACATTTTATTTTTTAAAGTTGGTAAAAGAACAGTGACACCAGGAAGAAAAGATATTAAACTCCGCGCATTGACTATTAAATGTAAATAGAGAATACAGAGCAAAAGTGGCTGAAGTTGGCCATCACAAAAGATCATAAAGGAAAAATGGGCTTTCATATTAGCCATGTCCAGAGTCTGATTCTAGCTCGAGACGCTACCTGAACCTCTGTCTGGAAAACCAGAACCTTTATGTGACCCATCCCAACCCCCAACCTTACCCTACATTTGCATATAATCCCTCCAACACTACTGCTGCATTCCTGCACCGACAGACAGAACGGGAGATCCCTTTACCCGACCCCAATTGTGCGCTTTACTTAGAAGCCCTGGATTTACACTGTTTTTCTTTCATTAATGTCCCACTCAGGAAAGAATGTGTCCCTCCCTGCTCTCAAGGGTAGGTGAGAGAACCTGGCCTGAAGCTCCTTCATGTGGTGAGGGTTGCTTATGATCTACATACATGTAAACAACTTTGACTATAACTAAAGAATGATGAGAAACAACCAAAGAACTATGATGGCTCTGTTCCAGGGACGATGAACACTGTCAAATCTTTTTGGAACTTTAAAGTGTAGACTTTCTTCATCTACTTTAGGACAGCACAGAAAGATAACTATTTTAACTACACATAACAATAATGATAGCCACAGCTTTTTTTTCTTTTCTTTTTTACAGCAACACGAAAGAAAAAAAATAATTATTCAAGCAAGCTTAGTTAGGAGTCTGGTTTGGGTCATTTGCTGAACCCACCCCCTTCTTCTCCTCATCATTTCCTGTTGAGAATACAAGAGAATAAAGAAGCAACAGCACTGTAAATACTAATGTCTACACAAATTGGCTGGAATTTTTTTTTTTTTTGCCTTGCTTATCAGAGAAAGATTTGATAATATTAATATATTTAATAATAGAATATCTAGATACATATAGTCAAAGTTTAATGGCTTAAAACGGTCAACCTTTTCACCTAAAAATGACATTTGACATGATGACCACATAAAAATTACTTGGACATTTTTCCATAATTACAGTTCTGGAGGTTCAAGAAAAAAAAATAAAAAAAATAATGATTTTTAAGTAGAAGAGGTGAGCTTGAGTGACAACAGAGGCAGACCATCAATCCTCAAAACTACTCTGGACTTCAAAGCTGCTCTTTCCCCTTTTCTCCTGGGTTTAGTTCAGTGTTTCTGTTCTCTCTCCTGGTGCTGGACATAAATAAAGCTCCATAATAAGCCTCTAAGCTGCTTTAGCTGTCAACGTCTTTACCAATTACTGTGTTACTAGCAAGCATGGACAACATACAAAAGATTAAAAAAAAAAAAAAGACTTTTTCTGCCGTTTCGAACAGGTGCTGGTCAAAATTAGTTAACTTGTTAATATTGGCAGGCTTGAATTTATTCAGCAGCAACCACTAAAGGAAAGAATGACAGAAAATAAAGAAACCAAAACGGAAGACCAAGGTTGTGACTGAACTGAAGACCCAAATAACTCTCCATCTATGATCTCTCTCACTCTCCCTGTCAATCTGGTTCAAAGTTGAGCTTTTGGTATAAGCATATACTACACACCTCAGCACTGGCTCATCAGTATGAAAGGAATAAGTGAATATTTCCACCACTCGTCTACGTGCCTCTACCGGGTCGGAGAGTCAGATATGGAAAGCCAGGAGCTTAAGAGTCAGGAAATTAAACAGAGAATGAAAACAAACTCCATTTGGAACTTTCTTCCATCTTTCTTTTCAATCTCACAACTTCCATGCTTAGATTTATGAAGGGGAAGACAGTCTGAGAAAAAGATAAATATAAAAACAGGAATATAAAAGCTGGTGCACACAATGCATATTAAAAAGACGTTTTAGATGCCCAGACAGCATCAACAACTAGCATCATTTCAAAACAAACGAGGATACAAGGATGCAAACGGAGAGCCACAAGAGCGATGATGCCAGCTGAAAAAAATCTGTGCGATTCAGAAAACAAATGTTCTTTTTTCTCAAGGCAGTTAAGCTCTACAAACATATGATGTGGAGCCAAGGGACGTTGATGTCCACCACCACATTAAGTGCAAGCAGAGCTGAGGTGCTATCAGGTTACGCTGAGAGATAGGCTGACATGTTGCTGGCAATAGATGCAAACACCACAAACTGATTGACCAAAGAGCCATACCCAGATCCAAGTTCAAGCTCCGTGACGAATCGAGATTGCAAGACAAAAGAAAGTCTCTATTTGGAAAAAAAACTAAACTTTCCACTACACAAATCAATAAACAGATAGTTCTAAACAGAGAAGAGCCGGGATTAAAAGAATGGAATTTTGGCAGCTTTTCAGACTGCGACCCATGAGAAATCACTTTATGTGTAATTTGTTCTCTAATTCTCAGGTCTCCAAATAACAACCATCTATTCAGGGAAACAATGCATATTTCTATAGAAAAGCAAAGAGGAAAAAAGAAAGAGAGTGCACATAGTCAGATAAAATCCTGACTATTTTTTAAAGAAATAGTTCACCTAATAATAGTTCACTATATAATGGTTCACTATTTGTCACTATTTACACACTCATGTCATTCAAACCTGTGTGACTTTCTTTCTTTTACGGAACACAAAAGAAGATATTTTGAATAAAGTTTCAGACACGTTTTCTACATCAATGGGGTCCAAACCATCATAGGAGCCCACTGACTTTCATTGCATGATCAAAATATATTCGTGTTATGCACAAAAAAGTCATGCAGGTCCAGAATGACATGAGGATGAGTAAATGCTAGAATTTATTTTCGATTCACCTTTTCCTTTCTAAAAGCAGAGCGGCAATTTCCTAATCCATCAAAGCAAGCGTATGGTGGTGGAGGAGCAGGGGGACTGACACAGTTCTCTGAGGCCTCTGGCCCCGGTGGGTTCCTGCTTTCTCCTCCCTGCCCCCTGCTGCTGCTGATGGCTCTGATAGAAAAGAAACTCAGAGGAGGCCATCGCAGTCTGTCAGCTCCCACAACATCAAACAAGGGCCAGGTCTCACCGAACTGTTTCCAGGAAAATATGCTGAAATATAATACAGCCGAGGGGTTTCCTACATGAGCTCTAGACTTACAACTCAAGTGACAGACCCTCTAGGCACTAAAAAAAATTGCATCTAGACATTTGATACTAAATGAGTTACACGATGTGATCAGTGCATATATATGGTGTAATAATGGGAAGTTTGATGATGGATGTTAATCACTGTTTATAAATCTCCACTAAGACAACATTTCCTGCATATGATGTAACACCACTAGTGGCCAGTTAACATGAGGTCATTTAATCACTTACTAATGCGATATCCTCATGATTAAGGATTGATGTCTTGCTTGCAGGTGTGGTTCCAAAACCGCAGAGCCAAGTGGCGGAAGAGAGAACGTTTCGGACAGATGCAGCAGGTCCGGACACATTTTTCCACGGCCTACGAATTGCCCCTTCTCACTCGGCCTGAGAACTACGCTCAGGTATAGTACTGTCTTCAGTAATAGCTGAGAGTTAAGGAAATACCAGTAATGAATATTAATTATTATTATTAATGGTAATTATAGAAAAAAAAAATCAATCAACCATTAACAGTTCTTTTGAGGTGCATCTCAATTTGCGTATTTATGCACTATTCTATGCCGCTTTTTAATATAAATAGTGCCATAGTGTGTTCTCACTGAAAATTCCAAAAAAGAAAAAAGTGCGCTTAAAATCTCTGGAAGGTGCACTTAATTAACCAGGAAAAACAGACTCTGATGATGGATGACAAAATAATATATATAATTCATATAATTCATACACTAGATGGTTGGTCATCATTTGGTCCGGGATCTTTAGTCTTTTAAAAACAAGGGTTTCATTCATGGTTCTTTTAGTACTTTTAAGAAAAAAAACATTTACCGAAAACAAATGTAATTCAATTGCCAAATAATTTAAATTATAATTCGTTTTTAAATCTCAAAAAAGGTGTGACACAGGCGTGAAAACTGTCTTACAGTTTTTTTTACACTTTGCAGTCTTTTTAGAGTCAGCAAAATTCAAAATGTTTATCTTCAATTACATATTATTATATGAACAATCAGTAGCTCCACTGTTTTATGTCGCACACATAGTTGGAAACTGTAAGTGTTTTATTGCCTTAAAGTAATTTGTTCAAGAATCATACTTCACTTCTTGTGCTTTGTTTTTGATGCAGTAAATAGATTCAATTCATTCGGAGTCATTCATTAAGGAATCAGACTACACTGGTCACACTTTCGGTTTTATGATGTAGATTCAGTACCGATGTTGCAGCACCACTGAAACCATGTCAGATTACTTTACTAAGAATACACATGCGAGAACCGCTACTGGAACCAACTTATTTTCTTAATATTCATCATTACCCAACTGAATTAAGTTAACTTATTAAAACTTGGATTTGGAATATGGCTGATAAACATTTGGGAATATCAAATGAAAAACAATAGGAAATCAGATCTGTGTAACCACTGATAATTGCGGGACCTGAGGAAGCACAATGTCGAGGTCAGGTCACACCAGGGCTGTGGCCGAGAACGACACGCCTTCAGAGGAGAGCCAAAGAATCTCCTGGATTTATTATGAATATGTGGCCGGGTCGGAGGGCAGGGGTGGCTCTTTGGGGAGCGCGTCTGCAGCTGTGGAATGCAGCTTTGCTCACATCTGGGGCATCTCCCTGAGAGGGCTTTCATCTCCCTCCACAGCCCTCCCTCAGACCCCCACCTCCCCAGGCCCAGAGCAGAATACAGCCCTATCAATTCACTCTGTGCTCCCTCCGCTCAGCAGAGGAGGTTACTCTGGGTGTTCAAGGAACGTCTAGAGACAGGCATTCCTCCTCCACACTAGGCAAGCAGCTCCCACTCAGTACGGGACCAGATGAATGCCTCACAGCTCTTGATAAATCTCCACGTCGAGTACCACTGAGGATTCTGCACCTTCGCCAATGCAATATTTCAAAACAAGAGGAGTCAGACTTGATAAATGCTCTCATGACTATAAGTTACATTAATGTTATTAATGCTGAGATTGCAGAATGTAAATGCACTATACCTTAACCTTCTGCGTTCGTCTTTGTTGCAGATTCAGAACCCTTCTTGGATAGGCAGCAGCAGTGCGGCGTCTCCGGTGCCCGGCTGTGTTGTACCCTGCGACTCGATCACTTCCTGCATGCCGCCTCATCCACATGCTGCTAGCGGAGTGTCTGACTTCTTGGGTGTGCCCAGTCCTGGAGGTCACATGGGACACACACACATGGGCAGCTTGTTTGGGAGTCCAGGCATGAGCACTGGCATTAATGGGTACGATCTAAACATGGACCCCGACCGGAAATCCTCCAGCATCGCGACCCTGCGAATGAAAGCTAAAGAACACAGCGCAGCCATCTCTTGGGCTACATGACTCCCCCAAGTTCAGGACATTATCTCGAAGTCCCTCAACAAATAAGAGAAGAAGGAGCAAATGTGAACATCAGTTAGCCACAAAAGCATGACCTGGGAACAAGGAGTGCATGGATTGACAAAGAAAAGAAAAAGTAATAGAGATACCAGGAGATTTATTTCCATTTGAAGTCTAGAGAGACAAGAGAAAATCAGAGATAATAAAACTGAGAATGTTCTGGCTTTGAAACAAGAAAGAAATACAAGAAAGATGACAGAAACTTGACATCTGAATGCATACAAGAATTAAATGAAAAAGACCCCTGCACTTATCCGCAACTAGTGTCCCATTTGTAAACACATAAATTTATCTAAACGCATCTGGCTTCGTTTTCATCTCAGCATAATCAAAACCTGTTCAATTCTTGTTCTGTCACAGACTCCTTTTCCAAATATGCCATCTCTGCCTAGACAGTTCCAAAGGACTGACAATAGAGTTTCTCACAGTAAAAACTTTTTTTTGTAGGCTTTATCCAAACATATATGCAGCAGTAATCGGGGGAAACTGAACTTGCTTTTTATATTAACTCCCCTTTGACAAAATCCCTCATTGATCACACCTACATTGATTAGTTTGTTCATATTAATTCCGTTGGTCTTGTAGAAGTCTATCAACAATTTGAGATAAGTACTACACTTCAAACACTTGAGCAAAAGTCTGTTAGGAGTTGCGCATCAGGCAAGGTAGACTTAAGAGGGCAAGAAAAGACAGACATAACTGTCCCGCAGGTAACTAGGCACTCAAAGGAGGCTTCCACTTGCTTTGATGAATTGTGCCCCCCCCAGTACCAGTAGTCTCAGGAAAAAAAGGAAAAAAAAAAAAACAAGTGCTATCTGCTAGCGCAAACCCAATGTAATATAGTTAATCACTGTCTAATTACAGGAGGTAGTCACTATCCACACTGCAATCTATCATTCTCTTCTTTGCAACCACATTTCAATTTTTTCTGGAAGAAAAAGTCGTTCTAAAGCCGTTTGGGAAGATTTGACAGCCGCATACTCGATACAAATCTTGGATCCGTCATACAGACTGTCAAACTGATTTGTCAAACATAACTAAGAAATACAATCTACAGAGAATGAAGGATGCAAAAATAGGTTGAGAACGTTTTCTTTCTTTGTGTTTTGAATATCACGACACACTTGCATTTTTTTCAGTGAGCGTTGGTGCCTTAGCTACTCTGCCTTACTCCTGGCTATATAATATGTACGGTGTTGGGGCTGTCTGAAATTTGAGCCATGCTTCATTAATTTTTTGGCAGAAGTCCTCATTGCACCATCTCAAATGAAACTATCAATTTGCCAATCTGGGCATCATCCAGCAAGGCTCTGATTGGATGGAAGCAATACTGGGCTTTGGCATGTAATCACTGCCATTCCCATGCACAGAGGTGCCAGAAATATAAAGCAAGCACTATTGCACGGTACTACAAGCTTTCTGCTTTTCCAGAGTCAGATTTAGATCAGGTAAAACAAAGCTGTTTGAAATCTGGAGACGAATCTGATACGTTCTGCCCTTTGGAGAAGCCATTTCTAATTTGTAAATGAGAACCACATTTCCTTTCCTTCATTCTGCTGTGCAGCTTATCTAGATCCCTGGAGATACTTATATATACACACACAACTTTTTTATTATAATACCAGAGCAGTGACTTACCTGGTTTAAGGGGGTCACAACATGGAATCAAGTTCTGTTTTAGAATGACAAAAAAACTAGGCTTCCATTACTTTTAAACAAAAACTCAAATATATAATGCACTGGATGCAATATCATGTTAAACCTTGTAAAAGAACCTCGTTGCCAAAAGTTAATTAGAAATCACCTGCTTACTGCTGCTCAGTCTCGTGCCCCATGGCCTGGATACATGATATGTAAAATGTAGGGGCTTCCTGAAGTTTGAGCCATGCTTCATTCATTTTCTGGCAGAAGTCTTCATTGCATCTCATGACTGAGCATCTCATCACTTAACGTAGCAAGGGACCTGCTAAAAAAGCCAGTGATAATGTTAATGTGCTTTTCATTAGGACTAAAACTAGTAAGTTGATCTGTCCTGCACCGAATCCATCTGCCAGAGCAACAGTTCAACCACCAATCCTCATTGAGAGCCATGAAGAGTTCTGCCAGTGCAGAATTGTGAGTCCTGACACTCTCACTTTGGCCTTTAAGAGTTTGCAGAGAGGGTGAACTGACTATAGTGTTCTGGGAAAGGACAATCCACACAGCTGTGTGCGGGGTAAATGCAAAACAAACATGCCTTGCACATGCTTCCCCTTCAGCTGTCATGGCTCTTGTTTCAAAGCCCCATGCTGAACACGGCCTGGCCTGCTACCCCAGCCAAAGCATCAGCCCTCAGCGACTCTGAGTCAATGCACACTCGTGCTCTCAGGCAGACCTTTTAATTAACACCGAGACATCTGCGGAGAGGGATTCTGTGACAGAACAGAGCAGCGTGGGCTCTATGTTAGCCTATCTTTAACTATTGTGGAACCGGGAGGGGCGTCGATGAAGCTCAGGTCAACACTATCATTAGTTTGTGTAGTATCAGCACACATATACACTTCTGTAGCATTAAACGAGCAAATCTCCACATAACAGAACACAAGTCATCACATTTGCTTTTGATACTCTTGTATTTCATTCAAAGGTAAATCAGCATAACATGTAAAACGGTTCTGTAGAGAACAGATTGTACAGTGCCCAAAGGAAATGTTAATTATCAGACAGTACCTTGCAGATGCCTATGAGTTACAGAGATTCTTAAGTCTCTGTCCCATCTCCCAAAACTTATACTACTGAAGTAGGCATATCCAAGTACTAGAATAATATAATGCTTTGTTTTGTGTGTGGTCGCATGTATGATTTTCTTTGGATTCCTTTCTTGCATAAAATACCCTTGGAGCCTTTCTTTTGTAAAAATATCCTTATTAGAAATATATTATTTTATGTGTGACTGAGGGTTTTTGCTTTTGTTGTATCGTGGGTCTGGGGTTAAAATGCGATACATTTGGGTTTTTGGTATGCAAATGAACTTAAAATAGTTGTGATGGCTTAAAGCTAAATGTATGGCTTTTGAATCATTTTTATTAATTATTTACTTTCAAGCTTGTTTATGTTCTATATATATTGTGTGATTTACAACCGTAAGTTATTGCACTTACATTTTTAATTGTTTGAATTGCTTCGAGAACATCTGATTCGAGTGGAATAGCACTATAAAATATGTGTACTCGATCAACTGTCGAGTACTTTGAGAACATAATGGTAAAGTACCGAGGGCTGGTAAACTGTTTATTATCCATGTGCTTTTTCAGATTTGTTTCAAGGCTAAAACAAATTGTACATTTTGTTTAAACTTGGAACAAAACAAAAGTTTTTTAGCAAGACACACTGTTTGTGGGACATTTGACATACTGTTCTCAGAGCCGGATGTAACAGCCCTCTTACATTAAAGACATACTGAAGACATGAACTTCCTGTTGGCTAAAGACTGTGCTTTTAACTAGGCTTTCCTTTAATGGGTTAAAAAAAAAAAACAACATTTAAAAGTTTAACCATTACAGGTGTTGGGTATTCTACTATGGATGTTTCATTTCATTTGACATTTTCTGTGTGCTCATTTTTGTTTGTTTCTCTAAATCCAGATGAATAAAAATAAAAAATAAAAACTAATCAAATATACCTGTGCAATATATTAGTAATTGTATTGATAAATTGCAATCTATGAATGCAGCTTTCGATGTATTAATACAGAAAATCTGCACGAAACAAAGTGGATGAAAAAAAAAACTTTTAACTGCTGATATTGTACAAGTGGATTATGAAATGCATGTTAATAACAGGTGACAAATGCCCTCATAACGCAGAAAAGGATAGCTCAGATAGGCCTAAATGCTTGACTTTGATGATTAGCTCAGAGATAAATGCTCCCTTCTCATACACATTTTTCTAAAGTAGACAAATTTTGCATAAAACACTTAACACACTGCAGACAATCTGGCTCTCTGTGTGTAATTGGTCATTCAGTGACATTTCCAATACTTAACATGTTGCTGAAATTTCCTTACCAGATTTTCACTTTCTTCATGCAGGAAGAGTCAGAACAGGAATAGATTTCTCTTCACAAGTTCACTCCCCATGGAGATGAAATGAATTCATCTCAGACGTGCAGGCTTCTGAACCTAAATCACTCAAAGCGCTCAGACATCTGCTTCTGGGCCCAGACAACAGAGGCAGCTGGAAAAGAGACGACAATTCATCCAAAATCTGCACTAAGTCAACATACCATCAAATTGGGGATGAGAATGAGAATACTCAGAAGTGACAGGAATGAAAACTCAATAACGTACATGAAAACTTCAGAACATTTCACACCAATCAAACTCCAGCAACAACTATTCTAAAATGAGCCGAAATGGCGCCTCATTAATTCTGTGATTTGCGGTCACAAAAGGATGACAACTTGTGTCAGCATGGAGAAGCGCACGCAATGTGTTGAAACCAAATGAATAATCTTGACAGTTTTTAGAATTTGAACTATTTTTAACTTGACACATTGTCAAGTAACAAATGCCACACTTACATTGTGAGATGCTTGAAAAACAGCAAGATGCAAAGGTCAAAAAAAGCATGTACACCGAGACCACCATTAAAAAAAAGTACTTTCACAGTCAAAATGACCAAAATGCACATCTCTAAATTAAGCATTTCTTTTTCCACACTCTGTTTATTACATATAATACATCTTAATGTAAAAAACAAATAAACAACAAAACAATTCAAAGAAATGGAGATATCAAAAAGAAATGTGACAAGAATTCACTGAGTATGAATGAGTTCTTTGCAATTTCATGGCATTTAACGATACTGATATCAGCTGTACAATATATAACTCTGCAAATAGTGTCTTTTAATATCTAGTAATACCCAAAATAGGCTTTAATTAGGCAGACGTAAGAGTTGAACTAAATAGGGAACATTTATATAAAATACTTTTTTTCTCCAGCAACATTCAAAAAGTCAGCAACTGAATATAAAATGAAATGTCAAACTGATATAACTCAAACTGTAGTAGTAAAATCACTAACAGTGACTGTGCAAAACAATATCTCAAGTACAAACTAGTGGCCCCAACTCAACATCTGAGATATTCAGTTCAAGTTATGCTACAATTTATTCAGCGTGATGCATATCTTTAAAAATAAAAAACAAGTTAAACTATAAATGTAAAATTACATCAATATATATC